GGGGGCGGCCAGAGCGCCGGGGGGAGGGCGGCGAGCCCGGCTGTGGCCCCGCTCTCCCCGGCGGCCGGAGCGCCGCGCCGCCCCCCTCCAGGTGCCGCCCCAAGCACCAGCTTGGGTGCCTGGAGCCGGCCCTTTGGGAAGCAAAGAGCAATATTGCTATGGTGACAGTTTCATGGCCTGATTCCTGCTGTAAGTAATTTACAGTAAAGACAGGGGAGAGGAACAGGTCTGTGAAGGGGAGAATGGGCAACTGGAATAAGTGTCACCATTGGGAATAAGGAATTAATTTATAGGTGGAACTACAATTGTCGTTGAAAGGCACAGCAGAGGGGACAATCTAGGGTCCCTGTGACTGACCTGGTGGGGTTTTCATTGGAGCAAAGTACTAGCAGCTGTTGTTTTAGGGTCTGGTGACCTTCAGAGAGGTGGCTGTGTATTTCTCCAAGGAAGAATTGGCTCTGCTGGACCCATGTCAGAAAGCCCTCTACAGGCTGTCATGCAGGAGAATTATGAGACACTGATCTCACTGGGTAAGGAGTCGTTTCCCCAGGTCAAGACTAGTCAGATTAGACAAGTGTTGCCAAGGGGTAAGAAAGATACAGACTTGCTGGGGAATCTGCCCGTGATGTGTGCTGTTAGGACACTTTGCAGCATAGTCACTGGTGGGTTAGTATAACCCACAGGTAAATGTGTGCTGCAGCTCCTCTTCAATGCCCATCCCACAGGGGATATCAATCTGCCATAGCCCCAAATAAAGAGGCTTAGTTCAACTGCAGCAGCTCCTGACTTTAACTCTGGAGGTCACCATTTCAGTCCCTGGTGTGTCACCCAAGATGGTGGCTGTCAAACTAGTACCAGCAGGGGAGGGGATAGCTCAGTGGTTTGCGCATTGGCCTGCTAAACTGAGGGTTGTGAGTTCAATCCTTGAGGGGACCATTTAGGGATCTGGAGGGAAAAAAAAAAAGTTGAGGATTGATCCTGCTTTGAGCAGAGCATGGGGTTGGACTAGATGACTGAGGTCCCTTCCAACCCTGATATTCTATTATTCTAAGTCAAGTCCCTGGAATAAGTCAGGCACAACCATGTCTATTCATTTATGGAAGCAGGATCTGGGGCAGCTTCCTCCCTGCTGCTGGGCAGAAATAGTAAAATCAGGCACATCCCTGAACCACCACCTGAGTCAGGGGTGGGAGGAGCCAAACAAGCACCTCTTCACTCAGTCAGCACAATAACACTTTTCCACTATCATGCACCCAGAGTAGGACCACATGCTATGTCTGGGGTTTGATACCCAGTCTCTGCGGGTCATCTCACACA